TTTAACAGCTTCTTCATATGTCAATGGATCACAATCTACAAATAAAGCAAAATGATTAACTGGAACATCATCTTGAGGTAGATCTGTTACCTCATAATCTTCCAACCATGCTGGTCTTCTCTTTTTGCGTTGAGGTTTGGAACTAGTTCCAAATTCCAATTCTAGTGTTGTTGGCAGACTTCCTCCAATACTGAACTCTACTTCTGTAGGTAGAATTTCTTCAACTGTTTGTCTTGAAACCTCGAGATCGGCTGAAGTTTGACCTTCTGAGTTCTGCACAGTCAGATCTTCTCCATTTTCGAAATCTGCAGAAATCTGTTGCCCAGATTTTTCTGTCCAAGACCAAGTGCTTGCTTCATCAAACACTACATCACGGCTAATGATGACCTTCTTCCTTTGTCATCAAACTTACTCTTTTTCTGATCTGGCACATGTGCATATGCTATGCACCCAAAAATTCTGAAGTAATCAACAACAGGTCTATGTCCACTCCAAGCCTCTTCTGGCGTCAAATCTGGAAATGGAGATGTGGGACTTCTGTTCAAGATATGAACACTCCAATTAACAGCTTCTGGCCAAAACTCTTTAGGCAAGCCGCTCTTTGACATCAAACTTCGCACCATATTCATGATTGTGTGATTCCTCCTCTCACATACACCATTCTGCTGAGGTGTATAGGCTGTTGTGAGTTGCCTTTTAATGCCATTGGACTCACAAAAATTTGAAAATTACTTTAAATTAAACTTACCACCACGATCTGTACGCAGAACCTTTACAGATCTGCCAACCTCATTCTCAGCTAAGACTTTGAAATTTTTAAAGGCTGCTAAGGCTTCTGACTTGGTCTGCAAAAAATACACCCATGTTTTGCGACTGTAATCATCAACAAAGGTAATAAGTATTGTTTACCTCCATTGGATGTTGGATTTATGGGTCCACACAGATCAAAATGAACTAGATCTAGCACCTACTTGCTCTCCAAGATCTGTCTTTAGGAAAGTTGTCACGGTACTATTTACTGACCATGCATATTTCACAAATTTCTGAAGGAGAATCAAAATGAGGAAGACCATTTACCATCTTCTTCTGTTGCAAAGCTTTCAACCCACCAAAATAAAGATGTCCAAATCGGCAATGCCATAACCAAGCTGTGTCCTTTAATATGGCAGATAAACATGACAGATTTATGGTTTGCAAGTATAATAGAAACAACCTATTTCCCGTCATCTTGACCTTTGCAATCAGACCAAGTTTTGAATCATGAATTTGGCAAACTCCATCTTTAATAAAGATTTCATATTCTTTTTCCTGAAGCTATCCCAGACTAAGCAGATTCGACTTCAAATCTGGTACATACAAAACATTAGAAATAGTTTGAATTGAATTGTCTTTGGCACGAATGGTTACCTTTCCCCTTCCCTTGACTGCAATAGTGGAATTATCACCAAATTTCACCTTGTCTTGACAAGACTCATCCAAATCTGAAAACGCAGATTTGTCTCCACACATGTGATTGCTGCAACCAGTATCCAGATACCACACATTCTTCTTGCTGACTTCTTAAGGATGACAGACCATGAATAGAGAAGAATCATCATTCTTCTCATTGTGTTTTGCAAAATTGGAACTTTCTCCTCTATTCAGATTAGCATGGCACTCAGAACGATAATGGCCATACTTATGACATCTGAAGCATTCAATATTTGCCTTTCCTGCAGATTTGGATCTGTTATCTACAACTTGATAATTTCTGTTCTGCCACCTCTTCTGAATTCCAATAGCTGAACTTTCCTCCAATTTGTCAGATCTCAGTATACCAGATCTTGGTCTGCCTTTCCAGTTTTCTTTTCCTTGACCTACAGCCCTTGAATTAACTGTGGTCTGCAAGGCTTGTGTCTGCGAAGTCTGCACTGCTTGCTCTTGCTTGTCTTGGCGATTTATCTTCCGCTCATGAATTAACAATGAGTTCTACAACTCATCAAGAGAAAGTGTTTCAATATCATTTGACTCCTCAATTGAACAAACAACATAATTGAATTTTGTTGTCATAGACCGAAGGATTTTCTCAACTATAGCAACATCCTCCAGATTTTCACCATGGATCCTCATCTTGTTTGCAATAGCCATCGTCCTTGCAAAATAATCATCTACAGATTCACCAATCTGCATCTGCAGAACTTCGAATTCTGCCTGCAAAGCCTAGCATTGTTGCCGCTTTGCTCTTTCATTCCCTTGGTACTTCTTCTTCATGGAATCTCAAATATTCTTGGAAGTAGACTTGTTAAGAATTGTTTCCAAGATAGCCCGATCTATGGCTTGGAACAAATAGTTCTTAGCCTTGAGATCCTTCAATTTTTCCTTCTCAATTTCTGCCCTTTGTGCATCATTTGCACCTGCCGCTAGTTCTGGAACTCCAACTTCAACAATGGTCCAATATTCTTTGGACCGGAGAAAATTCTCCATCAACATACTCCAATGGTCGTAATGATGACCATCAAAATGAGGGATTGAGGACTGGACATAATTTTCGGAAGCCATGAAATTTTTTGGGAATAGGCTCTGATACCAAATGTTAAAAATCAAGGATTCCCGAAAAGAAGAAAATGGAATGAAAAATTGAATCTCTCATTAAACTGAAAATAATTCAGCCTTTAAATAAGATTTACAATATAATATTATCTAAAAAGATAACTAATCAATCTTATCTAATCTAATTTAAGTGATAATAACCTAAAACAAATAAATAACTTAAATTTCTTAAAATATGGAGATAATGACTAAATAATAAGATCTAATGTCCAACAAGGAGGACAAACCTTCCATTCTTAGAAAAGAAACCAAAGGAACCTCTGTAGGAATAGGAGGAGTCACAGGATCCTTTTCCACGTGCATAAAGCACCTTTCACAACAAACCTACCGTCTGCACTACGGGGAAAGCAAAAAATATCGAAGAACGTTGCTGAAGAAAGAGAAGGAGGAGTACCAGCACCATCAGCAGAAGAACCCACAAGAGCTGGAAGTGGGAAAGAGCCAAAAGCAGAAAGATCGATGGCCATGGCAGACGCAACCGACGCAACACGGAATTGGAAAAGTCTATCTTCAGAAGAGGAAACCGAAAAGCAAAAAGAAAGAATAAAGAAAGAAACCAAAAAGAAATAAAAAAAAGTCAAAAGAAGTCAAGTAAAAATGAAAAAGAAGATTCGGGAAACCCTAGGGAAACCCCCATCTGAAAAATAAAGAAAAGCAAATGATAAATTGCACAAAATCTCAAGAAAATAGGGGTTTGACGAATCAAGAAGGACCCGTCGTACCCACCAAACCAAAGAATGGGAGCCACATGTATAAAAGGCTGCACAAGAAAGAAGAAATCCAGAAAATGCAGCTGTTGGGATATGAACGAAGCAAGAAAGGACATGAATAAATCTGCACAAATCCACAGAACAATTAATTACAACAAGATTTTTCCATAAAGGAAAGCTACGTCAGGAATCATCAAGAAAAAACCCTGTATTGCACTCTCTTTTCTTTAAATTAGATTTTTATTCCACATGATTTTTTCTAACTAGGATTTTTAACAAGGCAGCCACGGTTGAAAAACTGGAATCTCCAAAAAAGAGTTAGAATCTTGAGAAAATGGGGAAACCAAAAGCAAAGCTTCATGCACAAAAAAAGCTTTGAAACCTGTGCAAAACTGAGAACCAAGATCAATAGAACAATAAAAGAGAGAGCCACTTGTTGAAGTTTTCGCTAAATTCAAATTTCTTCGTTTGGGGTAAATGTTACACCTTAAATTAAGTTTTGTGAAAATTAAA